TCTATCTATCTATCTATCTATCTATCTATCTATCTATCTATCTATCTCATTTAATAAACGCCTTCGGATGCTTTTAGTGGGTCGGACCCCAAACCTTGGCATTCCCCTGGCAGTACAGTGAAGAGTCCTTCTGTACACTGGGCAGTGTTTTGTTTTTCCCTCCCAACCTGGCTTCATTGTGGGAGAAACCCTTCCTTTGACTTGGGTGTGATGAGCGTCTCACTGGCTGCCTTGATCTACCTCTAACTCTGGACCACTTGATTCACGTAGGTGAAAGATGGAAAAATTTTGGACGACGTTTCCCATGGAGTCTCACATTTTGCTTCCAAGGTATGGAGCAGCCTGCCTGGCAACCAGGAGGCCCTGCGTTAAGCCAGTTTCCATATTCCAGTTTGGCACACAGAGCTCCAGCATAAGGACAGCTTCTCAGGCAGCAAGGCAGCCTTTCTAGGCAGCTCTCTCTGTGGTTTCTCCCCTCTTTGGAGTCCCAGTTCATTTCTTATTTCTAACTCCAAAGTCGCATCTGTTTTATATGGCAAACGAACCCGAAAGTTCCTTAACGTAGCAATAGCTACCGGGACTGCCATGTTTGACTCAGTCGTGAAAGATTATGGAAAAGTAGCCACTGAGACGTGTCCAGACTTCTATCAACATTTAATATTGCAGGTAGTCCTCGCCGTACGACCACAATTAAGCCCAAAATTTCTGTGGCTAAGCGAGACACTCGTTAAGTGAGTTTTGTCTCATTTTAGGCCTTTCTCGCCCCGGTTGTAAGCGAATCACTGCGGTTGATAAATTAGTCACCTGGTTGTTGAGTGAACCTGGCTTCCCCATCGACTTTGCTTGTCAAAAGATCGCCAGAGGAGATCATGTGACTCCGGGACACAGCAGCGATCATAACTATGAACCAGTTGCCAAACGTCTGAATTTTGATCATGGGGCTTCTGCAAAGGTCATAAGTGTGAAAAACGGTCATATAAGTCGCTTTTTTCAGTGCCATTGTAACTTCAAACGGTCACTAAGCGAACTGTTGTAAAACTGTTGTAAATCGAGGACTACCTGTAATCAGATTTGGGTGATTCTCCAAGCCAGGGTTCATGAAAATGATTAAATGGTCGGCCTACATGCCATTGATGTCAGAATCGAAATAATTTTTTGTGCTGTCAGATTGCATTTCCTAAAATAGTCTTGATCACTACCTTTATTGCATCTTAATAAAGGCTACACTGAAAAAAAAAATAGAGCAGAACAATTGAGGAGCCGTGTTGCAAAGGAATATGGAAATAGCTTAATATGAGCACAAATTCTTTTAAAATGCTAATTGTGTCTTCTCCCTCTCCTCCTGTTTCTTGCTGCCATTATTCAATAAAACTGGTAAGTGCTAATATCTCCTAGTTTTAAATATGTTTGAGCCAAATGGTTGTAGGTTTAAATGTAGTTTTTTTTTCAAAAGCAGCCTGATCATTTGATCAGGTTTCTTTTAGCAGGTGGGGGCAGGAAAAAGGAGAGAAGAAAGAAAAATTAGAGAAGGGAAAGGAAAAGAAGAAAAGCAGGGGAAG